CTCTGTCACCCAGGACGGAGTACATCCAGTGAACCACACAATCGTGGTTCACTATGGCCTTGACCTCCTGAGCTCAAGCAGTCCTCCTGGCCTCGGCCTCCTGAGGAGATGGGACTACAGGCACATACACCACACCCAGCTAACATTTTAATTGTGTATAGAGATGGGGTCTCACTATTGTTGCCCAGACCGTTCTGGAACTTCTGGGCTTAGGCGATCCTCCCCACTTGGCTTCCCAAAGTGCTAGGATTACAGGGGTGAACCAGCACACCTGGCCCCAGCAAGTCTGTCTGAAAGTGCATACATAATACGAGCTCTTGAGGAGCAGGAGGAAGCATGGGATGTGGTCCTCTCTAGCAGTCTGGCTAGAGGCAGAATTAGCATTCATGAAACAGCAGCAGCTCAGGGCAGGGAATGGAGATAAACTGGAAATAAAGATGGTAAGGGCCTTTGGTGGAAGGATATTCTTCTGGGCTTCCAAAAGGGTATTATTGCAAACGACTTTCCTGCCTTCCCCATCGCGCAATCAGAATTAGCAGCCTCCTCCACGCATTCTGTTCAAATCTGCCTGCGATCACAGCAGACTGCACACACGTCCGGCTCCCTACTATGGAATACATTCCCAATAGACAAGGACAGCTTTTGGCTCCTGGAAAACCATCCTCAAAGTCTCGCATACAGGAAGTGAACAGTCTGTATTTGCTGAACTTAAGTATTTACTTCACAACAATTATTATTTTAACATCTCTATTCTGAAGCCTGTAAGTGTTTGTGGCAACAGAGGGGACAGGCTGCCTGAAGGCAGAATCCTCAGGCTGTTGACACGCCCTTCATGCGACCTACAAGGAGCAGCTTCGCACTCTGGCCACACCCACTTTCTCTGAAACACCGTTTCCCTCTTATCATTTTGCCATAGCCCAGCTGCCCGTCTGCTCCTCCGCCTCGGCCTAGCCCAGATGCGGCTGCGCTGGCCAGTCATCCTCAGTTCCTGCTCAACTCCACCCTCACCTCCAACTGAGTGGCAGGTTCTGCACTTCCACTGAGCCTGCCCTGGCCCCCATCAGTGCCCTGCACACTTGGAGGTGTCTGTGATCATCTATCGGTCCCCACCAGACACTGTGGACTGCGGGAGGGCAGTGTTTATTTCACTCACTACGGTGCTGTGCTGGCAAACGCTTAACAGACTGGTCTCCAAAAACGTGCATGTATTTACATGGACATACATTTATTTTCAATTTTACTGACGCAAAAGATATGCAGCACACAATGGTAATAAAATATACAATATAGTGACAAATATCATAATAAAATACACAATTACATGCTGTAATAGAGCATGTAGGAATAAAAGCTATAGTACTCTTCACTGTAAATTCCGCATAGCCAATGGATTCTCCCAGAATGCTTTCATAAACTTTTTTTTTTTTTGGCCCAACTCTTGCATCTGTGGCCATTTACTCTACTTTAAGGAATAAAACAAAAGTGAAAGAGAGATAAAGATCAATCATGACATGAGCAACTTCTCTGCTGAACTGGACACTAGTTTCAAATACCAGAATGTTTACTCAATTTTCTTGTCCTATTCACAATATAATGGCTACGGACACAAAACACTTTAAGTTTAAACTGCAATGTTAACATTTTCTTCATCATTTTCTTAGACAATGAACAAAACAATAAACCCAGCCCTAATGCGTCATGTTTGCGAGTTTCCATGGTGTAAGTACTCCCACCAAGGCTAATGTCCGGCCCCCAACGTGACGTATCTGAGTGCAGACACAGTCGGGAAGACATGCGCACAGCACATCACTACATGGTATTTCCACCACAGACACAGCAGATGTGATGGCACAGGTGACGCTAACGTCACGAGGAAGTGATGAGTTCTGGGTGTGTATTACCTTTGTCTTTATTATAATACATTTAATTATAATGGCTGCAGTTAACAACCGACTTCCAAAATTCCTTAAGAGACGGGTGCGGTGGCTCCTGCCTGCTGAGGAAGAGAGATGGCTTGAGCCCCGGAGTTGGAGACCAGCCTTGGTAACATAGTGAGACCCTGCCTCTATAAAAAATTAACAAAATTAGCCAGGAGTAGCGGTGCTTCCCTGCAGTCCCAGCTACTTAGGAGGCTGAGGTGAGAGAATCAATCACTCGAGCCTGGGAGGCCGAGGTTGCAGTGAACTCAAGACTGCGCCACTGCGCTCCAGACTGGGCAACAGAGCAAGGCTGTGTCTCAAAGAACTTTTTAGAAAGGTAGCAAAAGGGTATGAGCTGGCTCTGGCAGGCCATGGCTCACTACTGAACTCCCAGCGTTCAGCACACGAAAGGTGGTGATGGCACTTGTGGACACACAGCACAGCCCCCAGTGCCTTCACTCCTGAAGTCTGTGCTTCAAAGGGAATCAAGGCTTTCCCACAGCCGAGCACTAGAGGAACTGTACATATAACACGCCATCTTTTCAAAACTGGGGTAAATGCCATTTTAAAAATTTAGCATAAACTCAAATATAAAATGTTTTATTGGCTTGGCGCAGTGGCTCACGCCTGTAATCCCAGCACTTTGGGAAGCCAAGGCAGGTAGATCACAAGGTCAGGAGTTCAAGACCAGCCTGGCTAAGATGGTGAAACCCCGACTCTACTAAAAATACAAAAATTAGCTGGGCGTGGTGGCAGGCACCTGTAATCCCAGCTACTCAAAAGGCTGAGGAAGGAGAATCGCTTGAACCCAGTCAGCAGAGGTTACAGTGAGCTGAGATTCATGCCACTGCACTCCAGACTGGGTGACAGAGACAGACTCCATCTCAAAATAAAAAAAAAGTTTTCTTCAATACATTCTCCGTGAGGTATTTCTTCTACAAAAACACTTAGGCAGCTCTGCTGCCTTTCAGTAAGCATGAGTGGGGAAGTGCATATTAAATCCTTCAAAGGTGTGACTGGGTTTAGCACCCTGGGTGGCACTAGTCACAGGCTGTTCTTCAAAGCTCATGAGCTCAGCTCCTAGTCTGGAAAGGACAGAGTCCAAAAAGGACCTCAGGCTCAGAGGGCCTTGGGCTGAGGCCACAGCCAGGGAACGCCCCTGGGCCCTGTTGGTCTCTTCTAGCTCGGCAGGTCTCTCTCATTCTGTCTCTTCTTTTTCATTTAAAGAAGGGGTCTCACTTTGTTGCCCAGGTTGGTCTGGAACTCCCAAGCTCAAGTGATCTCCTGCCTCGGCCTCACAAAGTGCTGGGATTACAAGTGTGAGCCACCACGCATGGCCAACGCTGTCTCTTCTTACATTGCTGCACCACCTTCCCTTCAACCTCCTTGGCTCTTCACCCCTGCCCATTTCCCTGGGACCCTCCCTGCACCCTCCTAGGCCAGCTTTGGCCCTTGGTCTCCCCCATCTCCTTTCCCCTCTTTAACAACCAAGGGTCTTAATTCCACCTGCTATCACTAGTGACTCCTAAGTCTGCAGGGGACTACAGGCGTTCTCATCTCTACCTATTATCCTCATGACAGAACCTTGTGCGCCCAAGGACGGAGGCGAGCAGCGTCCTTCAGACTCAACTGTACCTCCATCAGTCATGCGGAGAGAGGCCACCATATCAGCCAGGACCAGGATTTCCTGGAACTCTGACTTCCGTACACCCAAGCACAAGGTTGAAACTAAACCCACCTCCTCAGAGTCTCCACGTGGCTCTCCTCCCCAGAGGGCAGCACTGCCTGCTCCACTCCAGGCCTCCTGGTCCACGCCTCTTCTCCGTCCCCAGTCACTACCCTGTCCTCACCACCCCCCTCCAGTGGACACCGCTCCACACTGTCCGCCACACCTTCGTCCTCCCTGGACACCTTCACACCCTGCCACTTCCTATGGAAAAACGCTATGTTAGGGTGCCCTATCAGACCCCAAGATAATATTCCTGTTGAGGAAACAGACACTGAAGGATTCAGGAGTCAAGGGGGACACTTCCACTAATTTACAAATTGTTCTGGCAAAAAAAATTTCAAAGAGAAGAAGCCGGGCGCGGTGGCTCACGCCTGTAATCCCAGCACTTTGGGAGGCCGAGGCGGGTGGATCACAAGGTCAAGAGATCGAGACCATCCTGGTAAACACGGTGAAACCCCGTCTCTACTAAAGCTACAAAAAATTAGCTGGGCATGGTGGCGCATGCCTGTAATCCCAGCTGCTCAGGAGGCTGAGGCAGGAGAATTGCCTGAACCCAGGAGGCGGAGGTTGCGGTGAGCCAAGATCGCACCATTGCACTCCAGCCTGGGTAACAAGAGCGAAACTCCGTCTCAAAAAAAAAAAAAAGAGAAGAAGAAAATATGAAAAAGCAAATGGGGCAAAACGTAAAAAACATTGGTGATGCTAGGTGAAGACAAACTCCTTATACTGTTTTCAAACTTTTCTGAAATTATACCAAAATAAAGGTACCCCCAAAAAATCCAAACCTCACCTTAGCATCAAAGTCCAACAATAAACAGCTCTTCTTTCAGGCAGAAGCCACTCCTGCCAGGCAGGGTCCATCCGTCTGACATCTTGTTTTTACCCCCTCTCAACACCTAGACTCAGGATTTCCCCAGTCCCTCCCTTTGAAGCTACTTCCTCCACTGCCCCGAGGGCCAGTTCCCGACTCACTCCTTCCAGGGGTGCCGAGGAAGGAAATGAACTAACATTCCCTGAGCACCTGCTGCCAGCCAGGCCAACACTGCACTCGCCCTAATCCTCACACGCCTCAGCGAGGAGGGCCTCCCGGAGACTCGGAGAGATGGAGACACCGGTCCAAGGTTACACAGCCGCAGATCCAGAGCTGGAACGGGGACCCAGCGGTCTGTGCCGTCCACAGCACCAACCCACACCTCACTGCTGCCTGACACCTTCCCAGACCATACACCCCCCCCCGACCCCGGCCCAGTCACTCAGTGCACACGGATGGGCTGCTTTGACCAGGTCCTGCTTTAAATGCTTAGGGATCCGTCAGAGAACAAAACAAACAGGGTTTCTGACTTCATTTTTGTGGACAGAGACGGACAATAAAGGCCATATTTATTAAACACTTAAACAATACAGCACTGACTCCATGGCAGGTGTTATGCTAAACGTTTTATAAACACAAATTAATTTGAGTGTCACAAAAATTCTGTTAGGTATTGTTCTTACAAATGAGGAAACCAAGGCCAAAGCAGTTAAATAATCCACCCAAAGCCACATGAGTAGCAAGTGGTGAAGCCACAACGCAACCCCAGGCAGCCTGACTCCAGAGCCCGGGCTCTGCCCCTCTCGGTAAGCGTGAGTGAGCAACACGGCACGCTAGAGAGGTAAGCGCCCTGGACAAACGGAGAGCAAGGCAGGGTAAAGGGAATCGGGCGCACTGCGGGCAAGGAGAAACACTGACATTTCAAACTGGGAGGCACGAGGATTCCCACAGGAGGTAATAGCTGAGCAAAGACATGCAGGGGTTGAGGGGTTACCCTGCAATACTGCAGGAAAGACTGTTTCAGGGAGGGGGGAGTCTGTCCTATGCCCCTGAGGCAGGGCGTGCCTGGAGCACAGGAGGAAGCTCGGGCGAGGGAGGAGACAGCCCCTGCCTTTGGTGCAACAGAATGCCCGTGCGTGCTGTGTGCCCGATTCCCCGCCTCCCTTGTGCCTGCATAGCTCCCTTAGTTTTCATCTTGACTTCCAAAGTGAACCGTGAACTCTGAGAACAGACCCCGTGATCCCTACTCCCTCTGCCAGTCCCTGGTACTTTCAATCCGATGCTTGCTGGATCTGTCTGCCTTGCCTTCAGATTCCACAAAACTACTAGGTCCAGGAGGACGAGCAGGTCCTGCCAGAGAAGCTTCTGACACCTGTGCCACTGGTCCTCCTATACTAGCCATGAGCAGCAGCAAGTAAATGGCACTTGTATTCTGCATTTTCAAAGCATGCCTATCCACTGCTATAGTCACATTTTATTCCCAGTAGGCCCCTTTAAACTGGTATGCGGCCAGTATCGCCCTACTTGACAAATGGCAAAACAATCAGGTAACTCACCTGAGCTCACTGTGCAGCAGCAGAATCAAGGCTTTCTCATCTAGACTGGCAGATCAGGGTCTGCAGAGGCCGCTGGCATCTTCACTCTCCTTTATGACCCACCCACCTTCTCTCAAGCCCAGCCCCCGGCCCTGCAGGATGAAGTCACTGAGGACTCAAAGCTCTTGAATTTCGGCACACAAATCTCTCTCTTTTTTTTTTTTTTTTTTTTTTTTTTGAGACAGAGTCTCACTCCATCACCAGGTGCCAGGCTGGAGTGCAGTGGCGCGACCTCGGCTCACTGCAACCTCTGCCTCCTGGGTTCAAGTGATTCTCCTGCCTCAGCCTTCCCAGTAGCTGGGACTACAGGCGCACGCAACCACGCCCAGCTAATTCTTGCATTTTTAGTAGAGACAGGGGTTCACCGTGTTGGTCAGGATGGTCTCGATCTCTTGACCTCATGATCCGCCTGCCTCAGCCTCCTAAAGTGCTGAGATTACAGGCGTGAGCCACCATGCCCGGCCCCACGAATCACTCTTCAGAGGTGAGTAATTGACCAGGCCAGGCACGGGGTCTCAGGAGGCCATGGTGGGCAGATTACCTGAGGACAGGAGTTCAAGACCAGCCTGGCCAACAAGGTGAAACCCCGTCTCTACTAAAAATACAAAAATTAGCCGGGCGTGGTGGCACACGCCTGTAGTCCCAGCTACTCGGGAGGCTCAGGCAGGAGAATCGCTTGAACCCGGGAAGCGGAGGTTGCAGTGAGCTGAGGTAGTGCCACTGCACTCCAGCCTGGGCAACAGAGTGTGAGACTCTGTTTCAAAAAAAAAACAAAAGAGGTAAGTCATGACCGAACAGTACAGGGTCCCGATCCCATCTAAGTAGGTTTAAGACAAAGACCAAGCATTTAGTTAAGTCACAGAGAATTTAGCTAAATGCAGTGAGTCACCCACTTCACACAGAGAAAAATGCATCCCTCTACTCCTGTCTCACCACGTACAGAATGCCCAGATTTCTTCCCATAGTTCCCCTTGAACTATGCAGGCTACTCAAAAGGAATTAAGGAATATGCATCAGACACGTCCCTATTTCTAGCCTCAGTCTTTTAAGTAGCAAAAAGTAAATCCCTTTTTGTCATACGTCAGAAATGATAGGATACCTTTTTCTTTCCATTTTTTTCCAGAGTAGATTATACCAATTTAATTCCATTTTATTTTCCAGAGTAAGCATACCAAAAAAACCATACTGGAAGAATCATTTTCAATTGGATGTGGTGGCTCACATCTGTAATTCCAACACTTTGGGAGGCTGAGGCAGGAGAATCATTGAGTCTAGGAGTTCGAGGCCAGCATGGGCAATACAGCAAGACCCCATCTCTACTAAAAATAAAAGAAAAATTGGCTGTGCATAGGGGTGCACGCCTGTAGTCCCAGCCAATCGGGAGACTGAGGAAGAAGGATTCCTTGAGCCCCAGAGTTCCAGGCTGCAGTGAGCTATGATCATGCCACTGCACTCTGGCCTGAGTGACAGAGCAAGGCCCTGTCTTGGAAAAAAAGAAAAAGAAGAATCATTTTCCATAGACTGACAGGCAATGGAGGAGAGGAAAACTGAAAGAGAAGGTTTTGAAACAGTAACTAAGTGGCTGCTCCATTCAGGAGATGGCCTTCCTCCTGGAGGCAGCAGAGACTGGCAGCACCTCTGTGAAGGAAAGCACGGTCCCTGCTCTCCGCAGTTCAGATGCTTCAAGACAAGTGATCCTTGAGCCCTATGCCTGCTCTCCCTTTAGGCAATTGCTGGGCATGCTGCCCCCTGGACAGCGCCAGCATGGGTGCTGGGGAACCGCTGGAGGAGTGTGTTTGCGGAGACAGGCAGGTACCTACCCACCTGTGATGGAACAGCTGCCATGTCACTATTTACCCATGGCAGGTACTCTGTGAGCAACAGCAGTCAGAGGGAAGCTGGCTTTCCTGATCACTGTCCAGTGGTGTGGACAAGACCATCCTCATTCTTGAAAAACTCACACTGAATTATTTAGGGTAAGGGGGCACGATGTCTTCAACTTTCAAACTGGCCTGGGGAAAAAAATGCATCTACACACGGGGAGAATTATAAAGCAAACGGGGTCAAATGATCAAATCTAATTAATAAATCCAGGTAACAGTCGGGGAGCACCCAGTACTCCTCCTGCAACTTATCTGTAAACTGCAAACTGTATCAAAACAGAGTTGCCCTAAAGGTGAATACCAGTGTCCCAACAAACAGGTGGGCATGCTGCCCCAGTCACAGCAGAGGGCACCTGCTGCCCAGCACACCTGAGGCCAAAGCAGGGGAGGGATCAGCACAGCGCCGTGCCCAGGGAGAGGATGGAAACAGCTAACAATGCTGATGGAAGTCTGTGAGCATCAGCCATCACCAGGTTTTTCTCCAGAACCAAGTCATACTCCTGGCGCTTGGAAAACAAGGCCAGCTCTACCAACAAGGTGCTGCAAAGGCACCCACCCAGCATTATCCGGGGCGCTGCCCTCTCCTTATCCCTTCTATCTAATCAGTGTCCTCTTCCCAAAATGTATCTGGCACTGCGTCCCTTCCTCTCCACATCCGCTGCCAACATCCTGTTTCAGTTCCTTGTCGTGTCACACCTGAGTCATCTGCACCCGTCAGGGGTGGGCACGACACCACTCATGCGCCAGATCCAGCCTGCAAGCAAAGAATGATGCTTACATTTCTAAAGGGTTGGGGAAAAAATTAAAAGGAGGCGATTTTGTGACATGTAAAAATGACAAAATTTAAATTTCAGAGGCCACAAATAAAAGCATTACTGGAACCCGGCCCCAGGTATCTGCTTCTGTGCTCTCTGCAGCTGCCTTCATACAACAGCAGAAGGGAGCAGCCTCAGAGTCCGACCAGCTCACGGAACCTAAAATATTTACCTTCTGGCCTTTTACAGAAAAAAGTTTGCTGACTCCTCCCCGGCTGATCTTGCCTGACTCAGTTCTCCTCCCTCTACAAGATTAACTGACCTAAAACTCGACTTCCATGCTGTTGCTGTGTGTTCAAACCCCCGACAGACTCCCTGATGCCCACAAAGCCCAAACTGTACCCTGACATCCATTTGACCATGAGAATAAACAAGAGAAGCCCTCAAGGCCGTGCCTTTGTTCATGCTGTTCCCTGCCTTTCAGGAAGCTCTTTCTGCCCTCCACAGCTAAGCCTGCCGCCACCTTACTGTCAGGGCAAGGCTCCGGGAACGCTCCCGGCTCCGTCTGCTCTGCTCCCACAGCACCCTATACTTACCCTCATCACAGCTCTTACCACACAGCACTGAAATCATCTATTTGTGCGTCTGTCTCGCCAGCTGCAGCAAGATCCCAGAGGGCAAGGAACACATCTTACTCACCTCCCATCACCCAGACGGAACCCAGTACAGCAGCTCATCAATGCAGAATGCAACCCCAGCTGGCCAGGCTGGCCTCCTCCCTGCCCCTGAACGCATCCTGCTCACCCCAGCACCCCTTCTCACTTAGACAATCCTCCCACGGCCGGGGCACACTTCAAATTGCATCTCCTACACAGGCCCATGGAAGTTAACATGGCGGCAAGTTAAACCCCCAGCTCCTCTCACCCATGTGTTGAGTGCCCTCGCACAAGATGCTTCTGTCTCTGGGTCCTCATCTGTAAAGCAGGAATGACTCAGTACCCCTTCAGCTGCAGGGCTGACAACGCATATAAAGCTTCTGAACCAGAGCTTGGCATATCATTGATTTTTAAGAAGTAACAGCATGCTTGTCCTTCTCAATCCCATCGTCTATGCCGTCTGGGTGTTTCAGCCCGTTTCTTCCCTGTAACTGCTGTATATATTACTCCCGGCTCTCCTGAAGCAGGCAGGCTTGTCACAAGCAGTGACAGGTCGTAGTACACTTCCACGAAGCTGCCCCTGCCCTGAAACCCAGGACAACGCAACACGTGGAAGAAGGGACCAACGGATACAACTTTAACAAACAAATCATTTCAGGAAGTTTAAAGAATACCTAATAAAAAAAAAAAAAAAAAAAAAAGCCCCGCGGGATCAGGAGTGAGACGGAGAGCAGGCTTTTGCCGATGCTTTCATATTGATGAGAAATGCAGTTAGAGGGCGGGAGCAAGTGGGACGAGGAGGGACCAGCAAGACAGGAAAGAACTCCCCCCTGAAGGCGGTACTGCTCATTTTCACCGGTACAAACACTGCAAAGAAACCTGCTGCTGACTCATTGGATGCTCCCCTGAAGACTGTCTCTGGACGAAAGGAAGCCCCAAGCCTCGGAATTCCATTCCAAGTTTCATGAGCACCAGTAGATAACAGCACCAGCTGAAGCTTGGGGTGCTCACTGCGTGCCTACCACGTGCTGGGAGGATTCTAAATGCTTACAACCACACAAGGTAAGTGGGACTGTTATGCCCTTCATTGCACAGATGAGGAAACTGAGTCCCAGGAGAGTAAGGAACGCACTTCGGGTCACACACTCTAGTAACTGGTATAGCACAGCAGAGTCTGGCTCCAGCATCCAAGCTCTTAACCACAACACATTTTGATTGTCCTACTCTGATTTAGCTCCACCATTTACCAGGTGAGAAATCTCAGGCAAGTCATCTAACCTCCATGAGCCTCATCTTTCAAGTGGGCCTCATATAGGTAACTTCATAAGGCTGTCCTGAGGGTTGAAGGCGATCATGCCATGACACATATCATGAGGCAGACTCCTGAGAAATCGGTTCCTTTCCACTTTTCCCATATCCCAGTACAAGTGAGGTTTTTAGCCAAACCCTCTGACCCCCTTTAAACTGGGAATGATCTACATGCCCTGCAGGATTTTCCTGCCTCCTGCCTACGCCTAAGCATTTGGACCTCATAAAAGCTTACAAAAACAGCCTGGAGACAAGAACGGAAAGCAGCTGCACACGGAGCTGAGTGGGGCAGCACAGCAGAGATGGTCCAGACGGCTCCTGGCATGCATACGAATACTGCATGAGCAGAGACTGGGCCAGCAAGGCCCTGCCAGGATGCGCCACAACTGACAGCCCGTGACAGCACCTAGATCCATGTGCCACACCAACAGGCCCAGCCCACAGGCCTGGGAGGCTGCAGGCAGAGCCAGGAGTACCTGTGCCTCTGAACCTTCACGTGTGTATGTGCCGCAGGGGACAAAGGGGCAGGCAGGTGACAGTGACAGGCAGTCATTCCCACCAACAGTGGCATATCAGACTGCCTGAAATGTATACAGCAAGGTAAAATTTTCAATTCCTACAGAAGGAATTCTGTTGGAAAATTCCTTTACTGTCAAGAACTTAATTTTAAGCCAAGAAAGTACAGATACACACTAGTTTATTTTGAAGGTAAATCCACATTTCTATACATCAAGTTTGCTTGAAATATAGGAGATACCTTGAAGCCATGAATCCTTCCCCTGGGCTGGTGGTCATGCACAGAGGGAATCTGTTATTAGCAGCACGTAAAAGTGTCCCTCATCTTAGCAAGTCAGCCCAATTAATATAGCAGGGAGAAGTCAGGTGTTTAACTCATTTCTAGGAGATATAAGTAATTTCTATTTGAATGGACGTAATCAAATGGATCCAAAGGTCTTAGAAAATAAAAGGTTAAAACCCAAG